CCTATATCACTCTGGCCCCTCTCTACAGTGAGACTGTGGATGGATACTTTGAGACCATCATTTCTGCCCTGGATGAGCTGGACATCCCTTTCCGGAAGCCAGGCTGGGTGGTGGGCCTGGGAACCGATGGCTCAGCCATACTGAGCTGCAGAGGTGGCCTTGTGGAAAAGTTCCAGGAGATCATCCCCCGGCTGCTGCCTGTGCACTGTGTGGCTCACCGGCTGCACCTGGCTGTGGTGGACGCATGCGGGAGCATCGACCTGGTGAAGAAGTGTGACCGGCACATCCGAACTGTCTTCAAGCTTTATCAGTCGTCAAATAGAAGGCTGAACGAGCTACAGGCAGGTGCAGCTGCTCTGGAGCAGGAGATTATCCGTCTGAAGGACCTGAATGCCATCAGCTGGGTGGCCAGTAAGAGACGCACGCTAAACGCGCTCGTTGCAAGCTGGCCTGCCCTGGCCAGGCACCTCCAGAGTGTGGCGGAGGCAGGTGGCCAGAGTGGGCACAGGGCCAAGGGCATGCTGAAGCTGATGAAGGGCTTCCATTTCATCAAGTTCTGCCACTTCCTTTTGGATTTCCTGAGCATCTATAGGCCTTTGTCTGAGGTGTGCCAGAAGGAGATCGTGCTGATCACAGAGGTGACCTCCACGCTGGCACGGGCCTACGTTGCACTGGAGACCCTCCGCTACCAGGCAGGGCCCAAAGAGGAAGAATTCAATGCTAGCTTCAAGGATGGGCAGCTCCATGGCATCTTCTTGGAGAGAATGGAGATGGCAGAACAGCGGTTCCAGGCAGACAGGGAGAGAGTGATCCTGACAGGCATCGAGTACCTGCAGCAGAGGTTCGACATGGCCCGTCCTCCGCAGCTCAGGAACATGGAGGTGTTTGACACCATGGCCTGGCCAAGTGGGATTGAACTTCGCAGTTTCGGGAATGATGATATTCTCACCCTTGCCAGGTATTTTGAGCTCTCCCTCCCCTCGGGATACAGTGAGGAAGCCCTGCTGCAGGAGTGGCTGGGCCTGAAAGCCATCGCCCAGCACCTGCCATTCTCCATGCTGTGCAAGAATGCCCTGGCCCAGCACTACCGCTTCCCCCTGCTGAGCAAGCTCCTGGCTGTGGTGGTCTGTGTGCCCATCTCCACCTCCTGCTGTGGACGGGGGTTCAAGGCTATGAACCGGATCAGGACCGATGAGAGGACCAAGCTCTCCAATGAGGTGCTCAACATGCTCATGATGACAGCAGTGAATGGCGTGGCTGTCACAGAGTACAACCCCCAGCCCGCCATCCAGCACTGGTACCTGACCTCCTCAGGCCGGCGGTTTAGCCACGTGTATGCCTGTGCCCAGGTGCCAGCCCGCTCCCACACAAGTAAGACACATGGCGGAGTCCCTGGATGTAGGAAAACAAAGCAATAGAATCTTCTCTCCCCAGTCCCATGCTGAGCCAGAGGTCTGAGCAAGTCAGCCAGCAGAATAGGCTTGCTCTGCAGGCCTGTGGGGTGTCCATAGTGTGCCCAACCGTATGCTAGGCCAGTGGGGACTTGAGACATGATGCTGCCCTCTGGGAACTCATGATCCAGCTGGAGACAAAACAGCACACTCTAGGCAACACAGCTCGTCCTAAGAGCAAGAACACCTGGAGCTGGACTGCCCAGGTTCCAGTTCTTGCTCTGCCACCTAACCAGCTGTATGGCCTTGGCTGTGCTTTGGTTTTTCATCAAATGAGTTAATATATGCAAAGCACTTAGTGTCTAGCAAGTAGTGCAAATGGTACTAGTTAAAGGTTAAGGCCACAACTGCAAATAACTAAAGGACTGGACAGGTCAGGGCAGTGTTACCACCTTCTAAGAGGGGCTGTGTCAACTCTGGGCCATGCAGAGCTTTGCAAGAGGGAAGAGGTCAGCACAGGTGTGCAGAGTGAGAAGGGATGAGGAGGTGGGTGTTTCAGGCACAGAATCACACAGAATGGGGGAGAGTGAACAGCCTTGCTGGATGGGAGGGCCTGTCAGGGACTAGGCTTGAGGGGGAAGGTATATTATAAAGGAGGGCAAGTAACTGAGCCATAAGCAAGAAACTTTTCTCTTTTCAAGTAGCACTGAAAACCAAAGAAACCATGCTAGTCGTTGGGTTCTGCAGGCTGTTCATGTTTGCTTAACAGGGACAGAGCAGTGGTTTCTCTTTTTTGACATCTTCACACTGGTCTCCTTCCTGCTGCTTCTGCTCCCTCCTGCTGCTTCTGCTCTCATTTTTTACCTCTGAGTCTGTGGCCACCAGCAGTGGGATGGGGTCTCGGGGTTGACAGAGGCTCTGGAGGAAGCAGGGTGGCCCTGGAGTCACAGTGGGCAGGTGGGGGCAGGAAAAGAGACCCATCATCTAAAACACAGAGAGTCAAGAGGGAAGGTTTGGTGAGTTTGTCACCCGAGCATGGTTGAGTGAGCTGTTCTTGGTGTCTAGCCCTGTGGGGGGGCGGGGGGGGGAGGGAAGGGATATGACATTGGGTGTGCCCTTGTGCACGCTGGGCAAGCGCGGGTCTAGTGCACATGAGGGAGCAGATGGAGAGCACCCCCAGACTTCATAAGGCAGTGCCCTCCTTCCCGGGCAGGGCTCCTCGGCCTCGGCACTGTTGACATTGGGGCCAGATAATTACTTGTTGTGCGTGCCCCTCTGTGCATAGTAGGAACTTTAGCAACACCCTTGGCCCCATCCCATTAGATGCCTGCTGTATACCAGTAGCACCCCCCAGGTGTGACAAGCAGAAACATCTCCAGACATTGCCAAATGTTCCCAAGGGGGCAAAATCATCCTCGGTTGGGATCCCCTGTCCTAGGGCAAAAGAATAAGCAGAGTAGGAAAGATAGGACTGCAGAGGGCAGTCCTAGTTCCATCTCCAGGCTGTTCTGCCACGTTTTCTTCACCAAACAGTCCTTGTTGTGAAGCTGGGTGTGGGAAGGTGGTCATCGTTTGATTGACCTAATGGTAGTTCACTTTCCTCCCGCACAGGTGTGGCACTCAGGAAGGAGGAGATGGGCACACTGTACACGGAGGGGTCCGTGACCCAGGAGCTGGCCATCCCACCCTCCAGGGATGGCATCATGGAGCCTCCCGAGAGATTCCTATACCCCTGCCCCAGCCATGAGGCCCCCAAGCTGTCCTGAGGGAGAGGAGTTCTTGGGACTTCCTTGGAGACCCCCATGGGGCCCTGCCCTGTGATCATGGGGATGCCTGCAGAGTCTAGGCTGCCCTGGAATCTTCCTTTGGTGGGTGGGGATGTGCTCTAAGCACAGGGACTGGGCAGTGACAAGACAGTGGAAGCCTGCATCCCAGGGGACAGGAGAACTAGGAGGCAACAGCTCCTCACTGGTGCCCTCTTAGCACAGCATGCCTCACTGCACTGAATCTGCCAGAAAGCTTCCATCTCCAGCTCATTCTTACGGGGCTGCAGAAATAATCTCCTCTTGAAAGATTTCACCCCATGTTCTGGTGGCAAGAGTACTTTTCTAAGGTGGGAGACTGTTGGAGGTAGGAGCTTAAAGGAGCACTCCAGCCCTCTGGATGTCCCTGAGTGGCCAGGGGGAAAGGCCACTTTGTTAGGGGGAGAGGATGACCATGCTCCAGGGACAGCTGGCCTGGCTAGAAAGCTCCTGGGAATTATTGTTCTGTGACCTCTCATCTGGCTCCTGCAGCAGAAGCAGGGAGGCCTCCATCAGGTGGGGAAGTCACATCTGAGAATATCTCTTCTCCTCCTGGGGCTTCCTCTAGGATGAAACAAAAATGCTTTGTGCAGCCCACCCAAGAAAGGTTGTCTTCCTGCAGCTCCCGGACGGGGATACATGCTTTTCCTGGAAGGGAGTCTCATGGTCCCTGCCCTAGAGCACATGTCTTTGCCCTGCTTCATGCCAAAGCCCACTTTCCTAAGCAGTGGACGGCACCAAGTCTGGAGCTAGGAGGCCTGGATTCAGCCCCGGCTCTGCTGCAGAAAGTGGTTTAACCATAATTAATCCCTTCCTCATTCTGCGCCCCAGTTTCCCTCTTCACAAAGTGGCAGCAGAGAATCCAAAACTGCCTGCTGGTTCCCGTCTGCCATAGGATTAGATTAGTGAGTGAGAGCCTCGAGTTCCTTGATAGAAAGATCTCGGCCCACATAGTGTGGACTCAGCTGCCTCAGCCCCTGTCCTTGTCCTTAGGAGGACAGGCATGAATTTTGCCACTTAAGTCCTTATTTTGGGAAGAGGTGTTCTCCAGATGTACCATCCACATGACAGTGTAGTCCGCTCTTCTCCAAGTTGCACTGGGGACCCTCTGCATTGAATAGGTAGGGCTGCTTGTTAAATATGCTCCACCCCAGACATGCGGAATTAAATCCCCCAGGCTGGGGCTCAGTGATTGGCTGTTTTTTAACAAGCTCTCTCCCAGGAACTTCCTTGGTGCTCTCCACTTTAAGAACCACGACCCTCAAGGCACAGAAGGGCTTCCAGCACTACTTCTGAGGCGCCCAATCCCCTGGCCCCAGCTTCCTTTTCAACCTAAAGTAGAGCACTTTTCCTTCCAGAGGCAGCCTTGTCTTGGCAGGCTCAGTAGACTACTTGTCTGGATGGGGATGATTTTGTCTAGGCTCTGCCTTCCTTAACCGCAGTGGGAAGTAAGGAATGTTAGAAGGAGGGGCTTCTCTGCCCTGCCTTGCCCTCATTTTACATGGCAGGACGTGGTGCTCCATCCAGACCTTGCTTGCTCCTCATCTGCAGCTGGTTCCCTGCTCTGTGCTGCAAGCCCATGTGGTTGGTCTCCTTAACCAGTAGTCTGCCCACTTCCCCTTCCCAGAAGGTGCCGGAAGCTCCTGATATGCTGGCATCCAGCACCTCACCATATCTCAGATGCCCATGGCGTCACCCACCCTTAGCACTTAGCCTTGGCGACATTGCTTTCCTATCTTGTTCAGCTCTTGTCAGGAATTCCTGTCTCACTTTCTGCCTTTAACTCGTGGAAGTGTCTCCCAGCCCTGTCGGCCTAGAAGTCTGAGGGCTACCACAGGCCTTTAGAGCTAGAGCTCTGCGAGGTGTTACTATCCACATGGCCGAGATGGAGCACAGGCCTCCCTCTCCCATCGTGGAAGTTTCTATGGGAGTTCAGGAATTTGCCCCAGATCAAGTGCTCTGGGTGTGAATAGGTGGAATGGAAGAGAGCAGGGCCTTTTAAAGTGGGGTTGTAGCTCCCACCCATTCCATACTGAGGTGATGTTTCAGCAAATTCCCTTCCCAGCATCTTCCGTCCTCTAAGAAACCCTCGGAGCAAGTGGCCAGTCCTGTGAGCAGCGTGCGTGAAGGTGTCTGTGGGAGCAGTTCTAGGAGCTGGCCTAGAAGCCGGGTGAGGAAGCACCCTGCCCTCTCCATATCAGTGTGCTCGGATGCCATCAATGCCTTCCTCAGATGGATAGAAAGTGGATCCCCTCAGTGCAGGGCAACTGAAAATGCTATTTACCATAGGTATTTGCCTGACCCAGATTTCTCGATGGGTGCGTGCATGTTCTAGCTCCCCTCTCTCAGCTAAAGGCAGAGAAGAAAGAATACTGACATTTTTGCTCAGCACCCCCGGTGGAAACATGGTGAGCGTCCTTACTAGAGACCCATTGCCCAGGCTGGCCTCTGTTTTGCTTTGCCAGGCTGACTGTGTTCAGACCCCAGAGCCTGGGGACCTCCTTGTTGGAGCTGCTTCCTATTTTTGTCCCACAAGAACATAAGCTGAAGGGCACTGGGGGTAGTAGGGGCAAGCACTTGCCCTTTGGCCAGAGTCCTAGCCGTGGCCTCCACCCCTTCCCTACCTGTAATGGTGGTAATGCCCTGGCATTTCTCCCTCCCTCTCCCTGACGACTGATGCCTGGGTCTGACGTTCCTAGTAACCAGCATTAGAACTGACAGTGTGATTTCAATAGCCATAGAGGGGGACTCAGCCCCCATCCTGGCCAGGTACCTTAGCGAGTGTGACCTCAATCCAGACCTTTGCCTCTCCCTCCTGCAAACGGTGTGTTCTTAGGGTGCTAAATACCTATCAGGACAGTGCTAAGGTGGGCTGGTTCTCGCACTTAAGTGTCTGCGTAGCCTAAGAACACTAAGGGTGACTGGCCCAGGGACAGTTTTTCCTCTGGTTTCAAAGATGTGCAAATACTATGTTTGATTCTTAACCTTTTGCTATCAATAAAATATTTCAGCACATGCGTCTATCCTGGAAGCCCTTAAGCAAGAACAAGGAGATTGGACAAGGCGATAAAAGCTAAGTATAGATCTTCCTTCTTTCAAGATGGGACAGGGCCAAAGACAGAGGTGGGCAGAGAAGTGTGTGTTCACCTTTGGTTTTGTCTTTTGCTTTTTCTCTTCGATCCTTGAAAGTGAGCTAAATTGGTTTTGTCTGTGAGTTAGGAGAAGGTAGAGATAAGATGTAAACATTTAGTGAGAGTTGTAATTAAGTGCTTGGCTGCCTTTTATTTAGCACATCATAGTTTACAAAGTGCTTTCACATTCATTGTCTCATTTGGTTTACTGGGATTGAAAAGGCCAGGTTTTCAAGGAAAATAGATCCGTCAGTAGTATAAGCTACTATGCCAGACTGGTCACGAGGGATCAGTTCTTAGAATCCCTTCTGTAGCCCTGCTCAGCAAGCCCTAACAGCTCCACATCCTGGATGCAGCCTCTCTCTGACAGGACCTTAGCAAAGGTTTGTAAACTGCAGGACAATCAAATCTCTCTGGTTGAGAAGACTCAGTCTTATGTCTTTAGAAAGACATTAAGATAAGCATGGCAGCCACGGCATATGGAACAATGTTTTGGGTTTAGGACCAAGAAGTTGGTGCAGGCAGAACTGCCTAACTGGCTTCCACCCAGTAAGGAAATGACCCCACAGTGGGGGTGAGGGCAGGGTCTCCTCGACCCCTTCCCAGGGAGGCAGCTCCGAGCAGCAGCCCCTTCCCTCGCTCTTGCTGGAGACAAAAGGAGAGAAGTGAGCTGAGGCCTAAAGGTGCTGGGTCCTGCCTTTCTTGCCAGGAACACTCATGACAGCCAGTGTGCAGTCACCAGGCATTTCTGAGCTGGTTCCCTCAAGTGTCCCCCATTGCTGGGGACACTTAGGTAGAGCCTCCTCCCTGTGGGTCTTCTCCTGGGTCAGCAGTGACAGCCAGTGTGCAGTCACCAGGCATTTCTGAGCTGGTTCCCTCAAGACGCCTCAGCCCCCATTGCTGGGGACACTTAGGTAGAGCCTCCTCCCTGTGGGTCTTCTCCTGGGTCAGCATGGTCTTTGCGTCCCAGAAGCCTTTCCCACAACAAGTGATACTGCTGGGCTTCTCACATGGCTGGTCCCTGCCCTGGTGGCTCTTCTGATGCTGCCTCTGACTGCAGCTCTGCTGCATTTGGTACCTGTACGGCTGCTGCTCACGTGTGTACCCGGGAATGGTGCCACCAACATCAGGACTCCACTCCGTGGGAGATGTCATGGAAACTCCTCAATGAGCCCTCATGGAGGAACCATGGCAGTGTAGTCAGTGAATACTGGCTCAACCAGAATTCACCTCAGGAAAGGAGGCAGGGGGCAGCGGTATGTTAACAATGAGCCTCTGCCTCAGGTTATGCCTTAGAAAATAGTGTCCTCAGCCTGGACACGAGCCCCTGGGGGTGAGCCAGGGTTGTGTAGAAGGCGCTGGATTAGGAATGAGAAGCCTTGGCCACAGGTTCTGGTTCTTTTACTGATGAACTGTGTGGCCTTAGGCAAGTTACTTCAATTCTCTGGGCCTCAGTCTTATAACCCGTAAAGTGAATGGGTTACCTTAGCCTCTAAGATCCCTTTCGGCTAAAAACAAAGGTCTATGAACTACATATGTGGTACTGTGGAACTACATTTTGGGGAGCTGTTTAATGAGGCAGACAGTTCACTCCTGGAAAGGAAGTCCCAGTGCGGAGGTTCACACATCATCAGTTATGTTCTAGGGAACCCCAGAGCTGATGGGCCCAGATGAGGCTTCAGTGGTTGCGGTAGGAGCCAGTTTATGGCTTTGGTCCCCTTATGGACCACAAGGGTGCCGAACAGATGACACTAGAAACCAAATGCATATTAGGACAGAAATAAAACATCAAAGACCATTAAAAGAACTGAGAGTAGAAGGAACAGATACCTAAAATGATCTGGCTATTTAGACTGAGCACTGGCTTTGGTTCTAGCCAAAGCTGAGGCAAAGAAGGAAATACTTTTCACTGTACAGTTGTCATTTTATACAGAGACTTTTTTTTTCTGGAACAAAATTCAGGGAAGTAGATCTTTTTTGAACTTCAGAGAGATGAACTTCCCTGGTGATTTTTTGAAAGATTGTGTAATCAGCCTGTTTTACTCTGTCCTATGGACGCCAAGTGAACCCGTATCCCAGGTGTGTTCTCAACAGGACACATTCTTGATGGGATTCCTACGCATTCTTTACAATACAGCTAAAATTTCACTTCTCCAAGTCCTCCCTGATTTCTCCAGGCTCTTAATTCTCATGGACATTGACTATTTTGATCACAAGGCTCTTAGCCCAGTCTGGCCAACATTATGGTTTTACCAGAATATATCACTCAAATAGAATAAACTCCTAGGCTAGGATGGTATTTTATACTTAAACATCTTTATGTATCATCTCCCTCTCACCTCCACCTTGCATGAATGTTGAAAGGATGGAGGATGTTTTTATACCTAAAATCTTTGTGTATCTGCCACCCCATTCCCACCTCCAACCTTGCATGGCTGTTGAAGGAATGGATGAGGTCTCAACTAGAGAACGGGGAAGGGTGGAATATTCCTGCTTTGGGAAAACAGCTCCGAGCACACATCTTGCAGACGCGGGGTCAGGGCGGGGGGATGGGGGGTTGTTGT